TTTGTATTAAGGATCAAACTCATGACCTTGCACTTGCCAGGCAGGTGCTTACGCTGCTGAGCTATCTCCCCAGCCCAGGTAGTTGGTTTAAGTAGGCATTTTCTGTGCTGTAGTCCTTAAAAAAGATAAACAGATTAATCCCGCCAGGTGGTGTGCACCTGAATTCCTGACTACGTAGGAGGCTTTTGTTGTATTTTAGATTCATTTGGTCACATACAAATGTGCATTAAATACAGTTATCCTATAAATGAAATCATTTTTCCATTTAGCTGAAATAACAAAGGCAGTAAAAATTAAAATATTATATTCAAAGTATTGTGAGGTGCTTCCTAATTTGCCAGTGACTATCTGCTTAGTTTTAAACAGAATCCATGTACTGCTGTGTAACAGAACTTTTTGTGATAATAGGAGAGACATTCTATGTACTGTCCCATATGCCTGCCTTGACTGCATATGGCTACTGATCACTTAAGATGTGGCTGGTGTGACAGAGACCTCAACTGTTTTATTTTAATTTAATTTTATGTGTTTGGTATAGGGTCTCACTATGAAGCTCAGACTCGTAGTGATCCTCCTCTTTTCAGCCTCCTCAATGTGGGATTACAGGCATGTACCACCATGAACAGTCTCGGGGGCTGCTCAGTGCACCTGGGGGCAGGGCCAGTGCAGCATGGGCTGGGGATTGAACCTGGTCCCTGTGCTTGCCTAACCAGGTGCTTAGTCCACTGAGCTATCTGCAGGCCCTTGCTTATTTTATTTAATTTTAATTAATTTAAATGTAAACAGTTATCTATGGTCAGCAGTAGTGATGGGGGGCAGTGTAGCTGTAGAAGTCAGCATCCAGTGGAGGGCACCCAGGTTGATATTTGTTTCTAGAGATTATCAATCCAGGTATTAAAGGGACCAATTTTCAATAGGGTAATCAAGCAAAAATCAACCTACTAGTTCTCTGGGAACCTCTGAGACTCTGCTCATCTCTGCCGCATTCAGACTATCTGTTACCTCAGGGTAGGGAGTCCTACCTGCTGGGAAGCCGAAGCAGCTCTCTCTTCGGCCTGGCTCAGACGCCTTTGAAGTCTGCTGGCTTTTTCTTGATGCTCTAAAATTAATTTTTCATTCTAGTAAGGAGAAATGGAAAGAAAACAAGCAAGTCAGATATCTATATGTGAAATGGAGATGTTCTCAGGGATAATCAAAAGTGTGGATATTATACTATGTATAAAATTAAAAGATAATATTGCCAAATGTACATTTTCTGAGTTGTAAGGTTCAAAGTATGAAGTTGGTTTCAGATTCTTCCTAAACTGCCCTCCTCATCCCCCTACTATCAGATGAAAGTGACTGAGGGGTGTGTGGCTCAGTGGGGAAGTGCTTCCTGAGAATGTATGGGCTCTGGGTTCCCTCCCTTGTACTGCAAAAACCACAAAATAAAATAAACACACACACACACACACACAAAAAGAAAAAAAAAACAAAGAAGATGATGAACAAATCTAAAAGAAAAGTGAACCAGAAGAGCAGGACTTTCAATTTTTGATTTGTTAATGCTGAGATTTGAGGTCACTGCTTTACAATCACCCACTGAGAACTGTGAAAACACAAAACATTGGGCCTTACAGCACAGGTAAGGTGGGACGGAGTTTGCTGCCCCAGATATCTGCATCCTGCAGAATTAGTAGCACTGCTGTAGGATGGACTGTGTCTGCAAGTGATGCTGAAGTTCTCACTTCAATACCTATGAATGTGACCTTCCTGTTTTTATGAAACAAGGTCTCAGTCTTTGCATGTAGCTCAGGCTGGGCTCCAACCCCTGGTGATCCTCTTGTCTCAGCCTCTCTAGTGCTGCGATTATAGGTATGTGCCACCACATCTGGCAGAACATGACCTTGAGAGTCTTAGCAGATGATTACATTAAGATAAGGTCAATATGGAGCCGTAGTCCACATGACATCCATTCATTAAATCTACTCATAGATCCATTCATTAAAATGGGCAATTTGAACTTAAAGACAGAGATGTATGATGAGAAGACTCAAAACATCCCTTGAAGCCAAGGAATGCCTGAGGTGGAGCCCAGGAGAAAGGCAGGGAACAAATTTTTGCTTGGAGTTCTCAGAAAGAAATCAACGCTGCTGACACTGATCTTAGACTTCTACCTGCCAGAACTGTAAGGCAATATAATTTTCAGTTGTTTATGGAACCCAGTTTGGAATACTTTGTGATGGCAGAAACTGCAGCGACATCATAAATACAAAATTGTCACTATGTACCATTGTGCTGACAAGTTCAAATCATCAGTGTAAAAAGTATGTTTTCCCTCTTTACTTACCTGCCTGGTCAGAGTGCATCTGCAAGACATAGTTTTGTACAACTAGGACTGCACGCAGTTTTTCTGGCATTTATCTGAACTGGGAGGATAATATAAGCTCAACAAGGAATGGCTAGAAAATGCCAAATATGTACAAGTGACTACAGTGTCACGTCTAGTAATATAAAACAATGAAATATAGTATCCTTAGTTTATCTTACCATATCCCAAAGCAGAACTAAATTTATTAAGAGAACTATATTGGCTGTACCAATTTATCAAAATTTGTATAAGTAATCTTAAATTTTAAAACGCATGTTAAACATCAGAGAAAATGGGGAACAATCCTGGCTTACCTGATGATTGTTTCATTTTTATAATTGCACTGTGTATATTTTTCTATACAGCTACCATAATGCTTAAGAGACAGTTCTAACTGGGAAATCATAACATATATAAGAGTTTTCCCCCCAACTGACCCTTTAGATCTTCCAATATTATTAATAACACTACATTGAAAAGCTTCCTTTTTTTCTCAGAACAGGTATCTGGAAGAGGGAGATAAAATGAGGCCAGTTTAACAGCTGTTCCTTATTGTCTTCTAAGTGTTTCATATCAATTTATAATGCCATGCTTGGGGCCAGAGATATAGCTCAGTGGTGTAGGTACCTGCCTAGTAAGCAGAAGGTCTTAAGTTCGATCCCCATAAGAGAAAAGAGGCATAATAGGACCATGTAGTCGACTGATGAACATTTGAAGTAGAACATCAAATGAAGATCTAGAGTTCTAGAAGGCCCAAAGAATCCAGGGATTGTTTAGTTTTTAAGGCTTAAAGAAAAAAATGATAAACTTGCTACAATTAGTTCTAAAGAATTAATCTAAATACATTTTGATATACTCCTGTAGCAAAAGTATTTTCTATGTGTCTTTCCTCATGATTAAAAACAAAATAGCATAAATATAGAGACTCAAGAGAAAAGAAAATCCTAGCAATTCTCAAAACACATAGTACAAGTTACACTAGTGTATGTTAGCAGAACTGAAATAAGAGCTCGCCCTTTCTCATGTACAGATGATCAACCACCAACTTCCAAAGCTTTTACGCATTGTATGTTATGTGTGGGCTTTAGGGTTATGAATGATTTTGATGTAGTAACTTCTAAGGAGTCTTACTTTGGACTTGGTGCAGATAAAATTCTATCGCACGAGCATCCAGCTGCAGCAGAAGGTACACCCCAGGGGAATCAGGACCTTACCTCGGCTACCTTTTCATTTGCTATTTCCAGCTGAGAGAGCAGTTCTTGGGTATGAAGTTTCTGTCGACTCAGCTCACTCCTATAGAAAGAGAGAAAGACAGAGAGACAGAGACAGAGAGGGAGATTGAGATTAATGTAATAGTTCAAAATCTAAAATCTTTATTTGTGACATATATGTTCATGTTCTGAACAAAAAGATTTTAATGTGCAACATAAAATTACTTAATAGGCAGCACCTTAAAAGCTCATTCAATTCTTTTTAAAATGTAAATATTCTAGAAATTAGTTGTAAAACAATGTATATATATTGGTACTGTTGCACTCTACACTTAAAAAGTTAAAATGTCAAATTTTAAGTAATGTGTGTTTTGCTAGTTAAAGCATTTTGACAATTAAAAATCATAAGTTATCACATTTTGTTACATATATTTTACCATAATTTTTAAAATTAATGAACTACTTATTTATTTTAAAAATTTTATTAGTACATGTGTGCAGTACATAATGATTACATTGTGAGTTTTTACCACAATTAAAAACAAACAAACAAAATAAAAAACATTTTAAAAGTACAAAAGCATCTTCAAGTTTATTATTTGAGATATTACTAGGCATTAAATGAAAGTACACTCATACTAAATAGATTCAGTCTTTATTACAAAATTTCAAAAGCTAAGCAAAGCAGGACACATCTGTAATCCCAGCATTCTGGGAGGCTGAGGCAGGAGAAATTCCAAGTTTGAACATAGCCTGGGAAACAGCAATTTCATGACACCCTATCTAAAAAAAAAAAAAAAAAAAAGAGGAGGTGGCTCAGTGCAAAGGTGCCAGGCTTAAACTCCAGTATAAAAAAAAGGACCCTATAATCTCTCATGTTCTTTGCTACGGTCTGTATTTTTAAGATTCATATAAAGTCTTCATAGGGGAGTTCAACTATTGAAAGTTTATGGTAATACCAATCACTCCAAAAATCATGTTAGGGCACTATATTCAGGACTGGTATTTATGATTTGGTTGTACACACACTATATTTTATTCATTCATATCTTTTGTGATTTATTAGCTAAAATTATGTTATGGTGACTATCATCAGCATTTGCTGTTGTTTGACATACAAGCATTAGATTGCTTTTTTTCTTTTCTTTTTTCTCCCTCCCCCTAGATTGCTTTTAGCCAGAAATTATTTCAAGAGGCCAGGGAGATAGTTCAGTAGAATAAGCACTTGCCTGGCAATCCCCAGTACCGCACAAACAAACAAACAAACAAACAAAGAAAAAAAATTCAAGAGTCCAAGGTTAACAGTAGATACAATGTAGTCCTAAAAACAACTTAATCAGAAAAAAAAGGATCAAATCAATTTTCTGGTATTAAAATAGTTAATCCACTATTGACTTCTGACTTGTACTTCTTTTGACTTTACTTGTACTTCTTAGATCAATCAATAAATTAACACTTCCAAAGTCACTTCATGGCCTGGTAATGTGCACACATGTATCCTAGCACTTGGGAAGCTGAGGTAGGAGGAGTCATGAGCTTGAGACCAACCTTGGCTACATGGTGAGTACATAGCAAGACTTTGTTTCAAAGAAAGAACAGAAAAGGGGCCTGGGGAGATAGCTTGGTGGTCTAAGTGCCTGTATGAAAGTACAAGGGGGTTCAATCCCAGTACCACATGCTGTGCTGGCTTTGTGCCACGCTGGCCACTGAAATTGGGTGTGTCGGTGCACGCATGTAATTCCAGCATTGGAAAGGGTGAGACGGAAGGGTCACTACGAGTCCGAGCTGCATAGCAAGACCCTGTACAAAATAAATAAATAAAAGATTAAAAAACTTTTTTAAAACCCCCGCAAGATCACTTCACTTTCTTTTTCTCTGTCTCTGTCTCTGTCTCTGTCTCTGTCTCTGTCTCTCTCTTCCTCCTTTCCTCCTTCCCTTGTTCCTGCCCTCCTTCTTTCCTACACAGGGTCTCACTATGTAGCCCAGG